AAAAATTAACATCACAGTGCGATCACTCGACCTAACAATCACATCATTTTGTTAATAAATATCAAATAACATTAATTTTGTAGACTTTTATATTTTCTGGCTTTTCGCAATGGTGCTGCTTATATGAGTGATGTGATTTTGTGAATAATTTCCGTTTCTACATTGGAAATAAGTTACATAAATTTTTATAAAATAAGACACATATTTTTTTTTCTTACATGATAAATATGCATGTGTTTAAAAAAATAGTAATAATAAAAATTTATGTATTCGGTGATAAATAATTGAAATTTTTTTTAATTTCTCACAAAATATTTGATTTTACATAATCAATAACACAGGCACACAAAAAAAAAAAAAGTCAGGTCCCAAAAAGCACAACCCCATATTCCTATGTTTTTGGGGTCGCTGAAACCGAATATGACCATGAAAAATTTTTTTGCCGACCCATTTTCCCGCAACCACCCCCTTGCACCTACTCACGGGGGTTGGAGTTTCAAATTAAAAAAAAAGTCAAGTTCGGTGTCTAATCCTACGTTTTTTGGGGCGCTGAAACCGAAAAACGCCACCAAAAACAAATTCTTTACCCCCTTAACCCCCTACAACCCTCTGGGAGGGGGTTAAAATTTTAAATTTCACAAAAAGTCAAGTTCGGTGTCTAATCCTACGTTTCTTGGGGCGCTGAAATCAAAAAACACCACCAAAAACAAATTCTTTACCCCCTTAACCCGCTAGAACCCCTGGGAGGGGGTTGGAATATTATTTTTCACGGCGCTAAGTGTAGAAAAATAAATTTCCTTAAGACTTTGTAGGTGCGTATTTGTGTAATCATAGGTAACTTTCTAGAAAACTTTATTTTTGGTGATGTTTTTCGGTTTCAGCGACCCAAAAAACATAGGATTAGACACCGTACTCGACTTTTCGTGAAAAATGAAATTCCAACCCCCTCCCAGGGGTTCTAGCGCGTTAAGGGGGTAAAGAATTTGTTTTTGGTGGTGTTTTTTGATTTCAGCGCCCCAAGAAACGTAGGATTAGACACCGAACTTGACTTTTTGTGAAATTTAAAATTTTAACCCCCTCCCAGAGGGTTGTAGGGGGTTAAGGGGTAAAGAATTTGTTTTTGGTGGCGTTTTTTGATTTCAGCGCCCCAAAAAACGTAGGATTAGACACCGAACTTGACTTTTTGTGAAATTTAAAATTTTAACCCCCTCCCAGAGGGTTGTAGGGGGTTAAGGGGGTAAAGAATTTGTTTTTGGTGGCGTTTTTCGGTTTCAGCGCCCCAAAAAACGTAGGATTAGACACCGAACTTGACTTTTTTTTTAATTTGAAACTCCAACCCCCGTGAGTAGGTGCAAGGGGGTGGTTGCGGGAAAATGGGTCGGCAAAAAAATTTTTCATGGTCATATTCGGTTTCAGCGACCCCAAAAACATAGGAATATGGGGTTGTGCTTTTTGGGACCTGACTTTTTTTTTTTTTTGTGTGCCTGTGTAATCAATAGGGAATTACGGTATTTTCTGCAATTGATTATACAACATTTTTATAAAAAAGTTGAATCTTATATTTATAACGTTTCAGAAATTCGGCTTCAAATCTTGTCATGTCTGCAACAAAATAATTATAATAATTATATAATAATAATAATAAAATAATAAAAAAATAAATATTTCAATTATAGGTGAAAAGTAATTACGCTTTTATGAACATTTTATTTGTTTATTTATTAATAATAATAATTAAAATAAATGCTTTAATATCAGGGTAGCCACAAATCAAGGAAAAGTAAGAGTAAAAATCATTTTTGTCAGGGGAATTTGGGAAATTGAAAAAATTTACAAAAAAGTCAATTATGTACTTCCTGTAAAAAGTTTCAACAATTTTTTCCTTTATAAGGGATTATAGTTTATTACCGATTCCCTTTTTTCACATATTTAAAATTTTGTTATCTGTTTTACCTATTTTCATAATTTATTACCAGTGTCGCGTGACGCCTTTGACCAAAAGCTGATTACGAATTCGGTGTTAGTTTTTTAAAATTCAAAATGGCGGATCCAGTATGTTTCAAGCAAATCTGTATGATTTTTGAAATCTTCATTTTTCTTGACACTCAAAGTGTCAAAGGGTTAACTCAAAGGGTTAATTTAGAGAACACAATTATAGAAATTTCTTTTTTATAAATTATTCAATTGACCTAATCTTGAATTTATCAAAAATTTTCTTTTTCCTTTGATTCAAAAATTATTAAGGTCAAATTTCAAAAAATTAAAATTGATCGAAGTATTTATTGACTAAAAATATACAACTTTTAATCAATTTAAGTTTAAATTCTTTCTAATTTTTATCAACTATTGATTTAATCAATCCATCGGGATCTCTGGTGATTTTTCTACATTAAATTCATTAAAGATAATGAAATTCTTCACAAATTCAATTATCTTAAACTATTTTTCAATAAAAATTTTTATGAAATTCAACAATTTAAAAAAAAACTTTTTAAAATCAATTAAAATTACCAAAAATTTTCAATTCAAAATCACTTGAAATTCAATTATTTTCAAAACATTTAAATGTAAAACCTTCTAAAATTTTCCATCTAAAACTTTTTGAAATTTAATAAATTCAATTATGACTCTTGCGAAATTTAATTATTTTTAATGATTTTTATAATATTTTACGAAAATTCAGTTATAGTCAACCATCCCAGTAATGCCGGTCAACGCGGAAAGGGGCAATGTTTTTCCAAGCTAGCTGGACAAACTAGAGAAGCGACTTTACTGAGAGAGGCTTCACTCGGATGGTTGACTGTATCTTAAGGGTATGCGCCGCTATGTTTGTTTTCAGTTTCGTTTAAAAATTTCACTTTTTAACAGGGACTGACACGGAAACGAAACAAACGCCAAATCAATTTTGTGTAGTGTCGTGTTCAATCACAAACACATTTAATAATTTATAATGTTTTCGTGTCGTGACCGGACACTTTTAATTTAATGAAATGTTTTCGTGTCCGGACACGATACTTTTTAAATGTTTTTGTGTCCGGACACGACACTTTTAAAATAATTAAATGTTTTCGTGTTCTAACTAGGCACTTTTGAAAAAATTAAATGTTTTCGTGTCTGGACACGATACTTTTAAAATAATTAAATGTTTTCGTGTCCGGACACGACACTTATAAAATAATTAAATGTCGTGTTCTGACACGAAACGTTACTCGACAAGAAAATGTGCCGTGTTCGGACACGAAAACATTTCATTATTTCAAAATTGTCGGGTCCGGACACGAAGCATTATTCGATGAGAAAACGTGTCGTGTCCTATAACACGAAACGATAATCAATGTAGAAATGTGTCGTATCAGAACACAACACACTAGTCAATGGGGAAATATTTCGTAAATGTGTTGTGTACAGAACAGAAACGGAAACGACACGAATGATTCGGGCAAGTCCCTGCTTTTTAACAATTGAACTCAAAATTGTATATTTTTCAGAGAACAGCGAAATTCCTTGAACCCTAATCTATCATCCTTTAAAATGTTAAAAAAAAATATTTTCTCATTTTAGCGTAAGGTGTATACTAAAAAAACACATCTTCCCATAATAATTCACGTGGGAGGTTCCCACATACTCTTAAACTACTTTTCAATTTAAAATTTTATGCAATTCAATAATTGTTCAAAATTAAAAAAAATCACCAAATAAAATTTTGGCTGTAATTTTTACTAACTTCATCAGTAACAGAAATCACAAAAAAATTGCAATTAACAATCTCTTGAAGTTCAAATATTTACAAAAATCTGAATTGTATAAATTTTTGAAAATTAAATTTCTTTTAAAAAATGTTGTCTAAAATTATTTAATAAACTATTTTCAATTCTGTAAAATTTAATTATTGTCTTTAACAAATTCTTTTAAAATTCAATTATTTCTAAAAATTTCAACTGTAATCAAAATTCAATTATTTGTAATAATTTTAATATTTCTTTAAAAATTCAATTATCTAAATAAGTTTCAAATAAAAATTACAAATAAAAACATGTAGTAACAACGTTACGTCAACCAATAAATAAACATCTTAACTGTAAAAGGCTTCTAAACATTATTAACAAATTAACAAAAACTACAGCAGTTTAAATTTGCAGAAAATTTATTTTAAATTTCAAATCTTCTGCAAAATTCTTGTGGCCATTAAAACTAAAAATTATGCCAAAATTTTAAATTCAAATAAATTGCTTAAATCAGACATCAAAAACAAGTTGTAAATTCAGATGTTCATTACATGAACATTTTGCTTCCTCTTTACGATCAGAAAAAAAATTTGCTTCCTCGTGGAGAAAGCATTTTATTGCCAAAATGTGAATTTTTGATTTTTTAACTTTCATTAATTCTTTAAATTTACCTTAAATGTATACTTTATATATATATTATATATATATATATATATATATATCGATCGATTCGTCTTGACGTAAGGAAAACGATTTTATTATATATAACCTTAAATTTTTCTATTTAAAAATTTTTTCGATTAAAAAAAAAAATTTGGAAAAAAGACGATAAAATTTTGTTTTTAGGTATTTTTCAAAATCCTTCGGTCAGATTTAAGATATTAATATGATAAATGAGCCTACCAAATTTTATCTAAATCCATTAAAACCTGTTAAAGTTATCTTCTAAATAAAAAAGGGATCCACACACACACATACATACATCCGGACAATTGATCAGGATCTCATATAACATGTTTCTATACAGAAAAAAATTTGTTTCCGCCACTTTGAAAAGTTTTATAAATGAAAGGACTACAAAGCTTCCTCCACGAGGAAGCAAAATTGTAAGGATTATTTACGATAACTGGAAAACAAAATTAATTTGTTAGGATTTTCAAATCACTGAATTTCATTATATATAATGTACTTTAAGTGAAATTTTTATTTAATAGAAAAAAGTAATTATTATTTTTATATTAATTTATATTAATTATTTGATATATTTATTTTCAGTTGGCGCAACGTGATTTTGGTATAGCTCAAAACATCCTTCTATATTTTATGTGTATAATAAACGTGAAATTTTTGATGCAACGAGAGCGGAAATTATTAAAAGTATCGAAGGTCTGGTAATTGCTAAGAATTTGTTAATGTGGATGGAAAATTTCAATAGTCTTTGATTGAGTCAAATTTTAGATATGTATTATTCTAATCGAGGAATTTTATTCAATAGAAATATAAAAGCCTGCGAGAGAGGACGAAATTTTATTCATATTGCAACTGAAACTATCATAGAAGAGGAGGTAATTTAACTAATTAATTTAATTATTACTATTCTCAGAGAAGCTGTGAAAAATGTACTTTTAGTTTGTACAAATAGATTTCCATGATAACTAGAAGAAAATATTCCTGCTTTCTTGTTTTCTTAGATATAACTTGTACTCCATTTTTGTCTGCCTTTCTTAGGTGAAAAATCGGTAGAAATACCCTTAGAGAAGCAGTGAAAAATGTACTTTTAGTTTGTACAAATAGATTTCCATGATAACTAGAAGAAAATATTTTTGCTTTCTTGTTTTTTTTATATTTAACTTGTACACCATTTTTGTCTGCCTTTCTGAGCTGAAAACCCGTTAGAAATACCCTCAGAGAAGCGGTGAAAAATGTACTTTTAGTTTGTACAAACATATTTCCATGATAACTAGAACAAAAATTTTCCTGCTTTCTTGTTTTTATGGATATAACTTGTACTCCATTTTTGTCTGCTTTGCTGAGGTGAAATATCGGTAGAAATACCCACAGAGAAGAAGAGAAAAATGTACTTTTAGATTGAACAAACATATTTCCGTGATAACTAGAAAAAAATATTCTTGCTTTCTTGTTCTCTTAGATATAACTTTCACACCAATTTTGTCTCTCTTTCTGAGGTGAAAACCCGGTAGAAACACCCTTAGAGAAGCAGCGGAAAATGTACTTTTAGTTTGTACAAACATATTTCCTTCATAACTAAAAAAAAATAAACCTGCTTTCTTGTTTTCTTAGATATAACTTGTACACCATTTTTGTCTGCCTTTCTGAGGTGAAAACCCGGTAGAAATACCCTCAGAGAAGCAGTGAAAAATGTACTTTTAGTTTGTACAAAAATATTTCCATGATAACTAGAAGAAAATATACCTGCTTTCTTGTTTTCTTACATATAACTTGTACACCATTTTTGTCTGCCTTTCTGAGGTGAAAACCCGGTTGAAATACCCTCAGAGAAGCAGTGAAAAATGTACTTTTAGTTTGTACAAATAGATTTCCATGATAACTAGAAGAAAATATTCCTGCTTTCTTGTTTTCTTAGATATAACTTGTACACCATTTTTGTCTGCCATTCTGAGGTGAAAACCTGATAGAAATACCCTCAGAGAAGCAGTGAAAAATGTACTTTTAGTTTGTACAAATAGATTTCCATGATAACTAGAAGAAATTATTCCTGCTTTCTTGTTTTTTTAGATATAACTTTTATACCACTTTTGTCTGCCTTTCTGTTGAGAAAACCCGGTAGAAATACCCTCAGAGAAGCAGTGAAAAATGTACTTTTAGTTTGTACAAATAGATTTCCATGATAACTAGAACAAAAATTTTCCTGCTTTCTTGTTTTCATGGATATAACTTGTACTCCATTTTTGTCTGCCTTTCTGAGGTGATATATCGGTAGAAATACCCTCAGAGAAGCATTTAAAAATAGACTTTTAGTTTGTACAAACATATTTCCGTGATAACTAGAAAAAAATATTCCTGCTTTTTTGTTCTCTTAGTTATAACTTGAACACAATTTTTGTCTGCCTTTCTGAGGTGAAAACCCGGTAGAAATACTCTCAGAGAACCAGTGAAAAATATGCATTTAGTTTGTACAAACATATTTTCTTGATAACTAGAAAAAAATATTTCTTCTTTCTTGTTCTCTTAGATATAACTTTCACACCATTTTTGTCTGCGTTTCTGAGGTGAAAACCCGGTAGAAATACCCTCAGAGAAGCAGTGAAAAATGTACTTTTAGTTTGTACAAACATATTTCCATGATAACTAGAAGAAAATATTCTTGCTTTCTTATTCTCTTAGATATAACTTTCACACCAATTTTGTCTCTCTTTCTGAGGTGAAAACCCGGTAGAAACACCCTTAGAGAAGCAGCGGAAAATGTACTTTTAGTTTGTACAAACATATTTCCTTCATAACTAAAAAAAAATAAACCTGCTTTCTTGTTTGCTTAGATATAACTTGTACACCATTTTTGTCTGCCTTTCTGAGGTGAAAACCCGGTAGAAATACCCTCAGAGAAGCAGTGAAAAATGTACTTTTAGTTTGTACAAACATTTCAATGATAACTAGAAGAAAATATACCTGCTTTCTTGTTTTCTTACATATAACTTGTACACCATTTTTGTCTGCCTTTCTGAGGTGAAAACCCGGTTGAAATACCCTCAGAGAAGCAGTGAAAAATGTACTTTTAGTTTGTACAAATAGATTTCCATGATAACTAGAAGAAAATATTCCTGCTTTCTTGTTTTCTTAGATATAACTTGTACACCATTTTTGTCTGCCATTCTGAGGTGAAAACCTGGTAGAAATACTCTCAGAGAAGCAGTGAAAAATGTACTTTTAGTTTGTACAAATAGATTTCCATGATAACTAGAAGAAATTATTCCTGCTTTCTTGTTTTTTTAGATATAACTTTTATACCACTTTTGTCTGCCTTTCTGTTGAGAAAACCCGGTAGAAATACCCTCAGAGAAGCAGTGAAAAATGTACTTTTAGTTTGTACAAATAGATTTCCATGATAACTAGAACAAAAATTTTCCTTCTTTCTTGTTTTCATGGATATAACTTGTACTCCATTTTTGTCTGCCTTTCTGAGGTGATATATCGGTAGAAATACCCTCAGAGAAGCAGTGAAAAATAGACTTTTAGTTTGTACAAACATATTTCCGTGATAACTAGAAAAAAATATTCCTGCTTTTTTGTTCTCTTAGATATAACTTGAACACAATTTTTGTCTGCCTTTCTGAGGTGAAAACCCGGTAGAAATACTCTCAGAGAACCAGTGAAAAATATGCATTTAGTTTGTACAAACATATTTTCTTGATAACTAGAAGAAAATATTCTTGCTTTCTTGTTCTCTTAGATATAACTTTCACACCAATTTTGTCTCTCTTTCTGAGGTGAAAACCCGGTAGAAACACCCTTAGAGAAGCAGCGGAAAATGTACTTTTAGTTTGTACAAACATATTTCCTTCATAACTAAAAAAAATAAACCTGCTTTCTTGTTTTCTTAGATATAACTTGTACACCATTTTTGTCTGCCTTTCTGAGGTGAAAACCCGGTAGAAATACCCTCAGAGAAGCAGTGAAAAATTTACTTTTAGTTTGTACAAACATATTTCCATGATAACTAGAAGAAAATATACCTGCTTTCTTGTTTTCTTACATATAACTTGTACACCATTTTTGTCTGCCTTTCTGAGGTGAAAACCCGGTAGAAATACCCTCAGAGAAGCAGTGAAAAATGTACTTTTAGTTTGTACAAATAGATTTCCATGATAACTAGAAGAAAATATTCCTGCTTTCTTGTTTTCTTAGATATAACTTGTACACCATTTTTGTCTGCCATTTTGAGGTGAAAACCTGGTAGAAATACCCTCAGAGAAGCAGTGAAAAATGTACTTTTAGTTTGTACAAATAGATTTCCATGATAACTAGAAGAAATTATTCCTGCTTTCTTGTTTTTTTAGATATAACTTTTATACCACTTTTGTCTGCCTTTCTGTTGTGAAAACCTGGTAGAAATACCCTCAGAGAAGCAGTGAAAAATGTACTTTTAGTTTGTACAAATAGATTTCCATGATAACTAGAACAAAAATTTTCCTGCTTTCTTGTTTTCATGGATATAACTTGTACTCCATTTTTGTCTGCCTTTCTGAGGTGATATATCGGTAGAAATACCCTCAGAGAAGCAGTGAAAAATAGACTTTTAGTTTGTACAAATAGATTTCCATGATAACTAGAAGAAAATATGCCTACTTTCTTGTTTTTTTAGATATAACTTGTACACCATTTTTGTCTGCCTTTCTGAGGTGAAAACCCGTTAGAAATACCCTCAGAGAAGCAGTGAAAAATGTACTTGTAGTTTGTACAAATAGATTTCCATGATAACTAGAAGAAAATATTCCTGCTTTCTTAGATATAACTTGTACACCATTTTTGTCTGCCATTCTGAGGTGAAAACCTGGTAGAAATACCCTCAGAGAAGCAGTGAAAAATGTACTTTTAGTTTGTACAAATAGATTTCCATGAAAACTAGAAGAAATTATTCCTGCTTTCTTGTTTTTTTAGATATAACTTTTATACCACTTTTGTCTGCCTTTCTGTTGTGAAAACCCGGTAGAAATATTCTCAGAGAAGCTGTGAAAAATGTACTTTTAGTTTGTACAAACATATTTCAATGATAACTAGAAGAAAATATACCTGCTTTCTTGTTTTCTTACATATAACTTGTACACCATTTTTGTCTGCCTTTCTGAGGTGAAAACCCGGTAGAAATACCCTCAGAGAAGCAGTGAAAAATGTACTTTTAGTTTGTACAAATAGATTTCCATGATAACTAGAAGAAAATATTCCTGCTTTCTTGTTTTCTTAGATATAACTTGTACACCATTTTTGTCTGCCATTCTGAGGTGAAAACCTGGTAGAAATACCCTCAGAGAAGCAGTGAAAAATGTACTTTTAGTTTGTACAAATAGATTTCCATGATAACTAGAAGAAATTATTCCTGCTTTCTTGTTTTTTTAGATATAACTTTTATACCACTTTTGTCTGCCTTTCTGTTGTGAAAACCCGGTAGAAATACCCTCAGAGAAGCAGTGAAAAATGTACTGTTAGTTTGTACAAATAGATTTCCATGATAACTAGAACAAAAATTTTCCTGCTTTCTTGTTTTCATGGATATAACTTGTACACCATTTTTGTCTGCCTTTCTGAGGTGAAAACCCGGTAGAAATACCCTCAGAGAAGCAGTGAAAAATGTACTTTTAGTTTGTACAAAAATATTTCCATGATAACTAGAAGAAAATATTCCTGCTTTCTTGTTTTCTTAGATATAACTTGTACACCATTTTTGTCTGCCTTTCTGAGGTGAAAACCCGTTAGAAATACCCTCAAAGAAGCAGTGAAAAATGTACTTTTAGTTTGTACAAACATATTTCCATGATAACTGGAAGAAAATATTCCTGCTTTCTTGTTTTCTTAGATATAACTTGTACAC